GCTCACACGTATTTATGTCTTTACATAAATACTTTCTCGTTTTCATGCTTCAAAAATAATTCTGGAGAAATGCTGTTTGCTCGTTCTTTTCCATGCAGTTACAATGAATGGGGAATTAAGGACTGATTTTAGTCTTATGAAGTCATAGGATAGTCGTATGAAGATATTCAATAATTAAGTGTAGCCAGAAAACAATTTTGTGTTTAATAGACGTCTAATACACATCTAAACATAGACAATTTGGCTAAAACGAGGCTAAACTTGGGCTGTCAGTGAAAATCTTATAGACATCTAGAATAGCCGAAACTAGTTGTTAGATTAGACAGACTTTATATGTGTAGTCATTTATTTCTGTTTATTTGATGACTAGTCTTAGCCTATTCTAAGACGTCTATTAGATTTTCACTAACAGCCCAAATTTAGCCTTGTTTTAACCAAGACGACTATGTTTAGATTTCTATTAGACATCCATTAGACATCTTTTAAAAACAAAAAATGTTTGCTGGGTATTATGATAATGATCATGCAAAATATTGATATTGTGCATTGACAATTCTGACTGTTGTTCATTAACTCTGTCCCTTTTGTTACCATCAGTTAATTTAACCCTTGTGTACTCTTCAAATTGACTACCTTTTGTTGTGTTAACATAACTAGGCCCACACGAAATCTGCGCGTGCAGAAATTTGTAGATTTCCTCAGAATTTTAGCCCATCATTGAATCTATTTATTTACGTGTGTACATTTGTAATTATTACATTTTAAAGTTATTTTCATTAATAATGTTGACAAATAAAAGTGTTCATTTGATTTATTTACGATACAGTTTGTAAAGTATTATTTTCTGTCTATTAGTTGGTTTAGTAGATATACCAAATAAGTGGATCTAGAAGGATATGCATTTTACCATTAAATAAAAGTCAATAAGCTATTATTGTTTATTTCATATATTATGATTTTATTTACAAAACTCCCAAAATAATTTCCGCATAAATATGCTGATTTAATTTTTTTCAAAATTCTATGCAGAAATGGTTACATTTGTCCGCAGATTCTGTCTGGCCCTATCCATAACTAATAAAATTCAGTTGAATTTTTTAATTAATTGATAACATAATTATAATAAAAAAGCTATTTCTCACTGCTGATTGTAATGCATTGACTGATGATTGCTCATGAGTAGGCCCACACGGAATCTGCATGCGCAGATTTTTAGCCCATCATTAAATCTATAAATTTACTTGTGTAAATGAGTGTAAATTTATTTGTTCAGTTTTTAAATTAGTTTCAGTAATTTCAAAAGTCGTAATTGTTTTATTATATGAAATAATCCATAATAAGGCCCAAACAGAATCTGCACACGCAGAAATCTGCAGATTTCTGCAAAATTTTAACCCATCACTCAGTCTATTTATTTATGTGTGTACATTTGTAATGATTACTTTTTAAAATTAATTTCATTAATAATATTGACATATGAAAGTGTTCATTTGATTTTTTTTTTACAAAATAGTTTGTAAAGTATGATTTTCTGTCTTTTAGTAGATTTATTAAATCTACCTTGTTTACCAAATACTGTAAGTGGATCTAGATGGATTTGCAATGTAACCACTAAATAAAAGTTAAAAAGCTATTATTTTTTATTTCACATGGAATCTGCACGTGAATAAATCCACAGATTTTTAGCCGATTAATAAATCTATTTATTCATTTGTGTTAATTTATATGTATTCCTTTTTTAAAGTTATTTGTGTAATATTATTAATTAATATAAAATTATTTACAAAATGTATTTACAATACAGTTTTTAAAGTAATATTTTCTGTCTTTTAGTAGATATATGTTATAGACTTGCTTTGTTTACCAAATAAGTTTATCTAGATGGATTTGCATTGTAAACATTAAATAAAAGCTATTATTTTTTATTTCATACATATAAGTTTTTAGTTATGTTCGTCCCAAAACAATTCTGCATATCCTGCAATTCTGCATACCCTGTAAATCCACTGATTTTTTACAAAATTCTCCACAGAAATAGTAAAAAATGTTTGCAGATTCTGTCTGGCCATTCTCATTAGGTTTTATTGTAAAGTGTTACTTTTATCATCCTTTAGCAATTTAATTAGCTTGAAGCAAAACATGGTTACTCTAAACATATAAATACAAAGCAAAAAAAAGTTTGTTTTTCTGTAAAGTCATTTTTTTTGCAGCTTAGGTCAATATTATGATAACACCACTACCGTGATGATACCTTCAGTAATTAATCGCAACAAGACAATTTGATACTGTCAGAAGAAGAAGAAATAAGAAAGTTGAGCTGTGATTTTTTTATTACTGTGAGCTAAATTTGAGATTCAGATCCCATTTCTAAATGATCCTTACAGATTGGTTTGTAAATATTTAATGATTTAGTAAAAAGATTAGACATCACAGCATTAGACATCACGTTCAAAAATATGCCAAGATTTTCTATGAATAGCAATGCCCACTTTACTTCTCTTATAGCTTCAGAAGACTTCAAATATTGTGTTTTGAATCTTTTTTTCCAAATTGAGTGGTTCAGTCCTTTGTAGAAAAAAAGTCAATTAGTATGACAAGAGGGAGAGTAAATATCATGAATGTTACATTTTGGATGAATTGCTTCCTTAAATGGAATTTAAAATACTTGGTTTAAACAAAAACCCAAACAAGCAGGTCTGTTATGTTTCATGTAGGCTGCATGTTTTCCATCTTTGGAAGAACGATTGGCAAGTTTTCTTGACTTGAATATTCTTTAACTCTTGCTGTTTTATTGTTTAAAAAGGATGTAACAATTGTTTATGTAACTTTCTGGTCTTGTTTAGTTCCAGGCTTTGTGTGAGCTTTTCTGGTTAGTCTTTCCTGAAAACACACTCATATCCTCTAAGAAATGCCTTTAGGACATTAAAACAAATCTATTGAAAGCCCTTCTTTTAAATACATGAAATACTCTGGCTTTTCCCCCAATCCACCCAGCAGACAAGATGAAAGAAGATGCTGATCATGAGAAGAGAGAACATGAATTAAACGGACAATGCCAGTGGTTGTAGTACTAGAAAAGTCAGAGGTTATCAGACCGTTATCTATAGTAAAACTGACAGAGGGCGCCATGATAAACATTATCGAGGGTTTAGACAAAGGGTTTAACCTTATCAGCGTTACATAAGTACCACGCTGATTTTTAGGAACAGACAAACTGCTGTAAAAAAAAGTAAACGCTGATATACAAGTTTATCATTAAGGATAGGCTATGTCCAGTGAGTAGCCTACAAGTGATTTTAATAGCCTACCTTTATTATTGCCGCGTCCGTGTCTTAAGAATGACGTCAGGTTCCGTGTACTGTGCTTTTACGTGTTGCTCATGTGAAATCTGACGGAATGTCGTCCTAAACTACTCTGACAGACTTTGCACAAAACTGATGCCGCTACTACTTAAAAATGGTGCGAAACAAATCATTAGCAGATTAATTTCAGTGAAACACACAGCACAATTAATCCCATGCTAACGGTTTTATTTGGTTCTTTTTAGTTTGCATGTAATGTAGTTCTATAGGCTACATGTTGTTGCAGTTGTTATGTAGGCTGCAGTACATTTTGGTTAGTTAAGTTTTACTTTATAGCCTACATTTAAAGCAAAATAAGCAACGAATGATAGACTTGGTTTCTTCTTTGCTAAATAATACTTTTTTAAATAATAAAAACTGCGAGGGGTGACAGTGGCTTAGTGGTTATAGCACTAGCCTCACAGCAAGGTTGCTGTTTTGAGTCCCAGCTGGGTCAGTGGCATATTTCTGTGTGGAGTTTGTATGTTCTCCCAGAGTTCATGTGGGTTTCCTCTGGGTGCTCCGGTTTCCTCCATAGTCCAAAGACATGCGATATAGGTGAATTGAATAAACTAAATTGGTCGTAATGAATATAAAGATGTTTCCCAGTACTAGGTTGCAACTGGAAGGGCAACCTAGTATGGGTGTAACCTCTGCTGTTTAACCTATGCTGAATAAGTTGGCGGTTAATCTGCTGTGGTGAGCCCTGATGACAAAAAAGGGACTAAGCCAAAAGACAATGATTTAATGAATACAAATGACAGATTGGACTATGGATTATGAATAATGGCGTATGTTAGCTAGATGATCATTATGTGATGACTGAGATTTTAAAACTTTGCATCAACTGAGACACATTTGCGTAATCATGTATTGTTTTAGCACTTGGAGCCTGCTGACAACAGTAAATAAAACAAAAATGTAGATCAAAACCTGCAAAAAGTTATATAATTTAGCTACTGTATATGAAATATATTACTTAGTTGAATTGGTTAAAGGCTACCTTCAGATCCTACATTTGAAATTTACAGGTTCAATATGGTTATTTTATTAATTTGTAGGCCTTGTTATGTTAGCTTTGTGCAGGTCTCATTTTAATTAAACATATGTCACTGAAAAAGTCTTAACATTTATTTCATAAACAATCAAGTTTTGTTTAAGGTGAGTTAAGCGATACATGGCTTCACAGAAATCTCTCCAGGTGTAAACCATTAAAATGTACAAAAAGCCATGTCTTACCGAAATGGGATGACTTTGGCAGTTTGATACACAGCCAAATACACTTCAAGCCAAATACTTGATTCCAAGAATAAGCCAAAAAACAAATGGTTCAAAAACATTTTAAAGGTTTAGAATTATTCCGAAAGCACTTGTTTTATGTGTTGAGTTGCATTTGTATAAATGTACGTTTTAGTAAAAAAAAGAAAAAAAAAAGGTTATTAATTATTATTTAGTATTTGAATAATAATTTTGTGGAAAGTGGACTAGAATAATATATATTTTTTTAAAAACAGTGTTGTGTTGCTTGATTGTAAAATCATGACTACCGTGATAGGTTTAAAGTTAATTCAGCCTGAACGAGTATATCTACATATGACAATGTGTTTGCCTCTCTAACAGAAGTACTGAAGTTTTGTTCTATTTTGAATCTTTTCCCAGAATGTTCTGGAAGCTGGCAATACATGCCATTTTGGCATGGACCTTATTCGCATCTACAGAGACCAAGAAGCAACGTCCTCAAGGTTCCATCCCCTCCCCTTACAAGCTAAAGGGCAATGATTTATCATCGCCATCCCATGCACTAGCATCACTGCCTCAGCATACTGCATCAGCACGACGACAGAAGGGTAAACATGACATGCTGTCATCGAGTCGTGAGGCTCTGGTGGTCACCGAGCGCAAGTACCTGAAGAGTGACTGGTGTAAAACACAGCCGTTACGCCAAACTGTGAGCCTGGAGGGCTGCCTAAGCCGAACCGTTATCAACCGGTTCTGTTACGGCCAGTGTAACTCCTTCTACATCCCACGCCACCTGACATCTCAAAGCTCACATAGAAGTCGGAAAACAGCGTCCACACCAGACCACACCACTTCATTCCAGTCCTGTGCTTTCTGTCGACCGAGCCGGATAACCACAGTCACCGTCCGGCTTCACTGTCCTGGGCTGCAGCCGCCATACCGCCAACGGAAAGTGCAGCGGATCAAGCAGTGCAAATGTGTGTCTGTTAATGTCAATGCTGCATACTGAGATGAAACAATGATTTAGGGTGTTCCTTTCGGGGAAAAAAAGAACTGTGGCTGCCTGACAATCAGTGTGTGAAATGTGCCAAAGACAACAGCTAATCAGAGGCCTGGCCACCTTCATTATGTCTGGACTCTACCACAGAATGCTAAGCGGGAATACTTAATAGCTGCCGAGCAGCGTTCGAAACAAAGCTGGATTTTTTTCTTCTTTTCTTGACAATACGAAAGAGCTGAGAGTTGTTACATACAAAACCCAAACTGTCAATTGTGTTTTAAATGAACAATGTTTGATCCTTGACCCCCTGAAAGCTTTTCCTTATCAAAACATGGAGTGTCTGTCCTCCTGCTTTACCTCAGCAGTGCTGATTCTCTGTAGAGTGCAACAGTCGGGTTCTGGAAGTAGAAATCCTATTCATTTTCTTATTAAGGGATATATATATATATATATATATATATATATATATATATATATATATATATATATATATATATATATATATATATATATATATATATATATATACATATACATACATACATACATACACACACACACACACACACACACACACACACACACACACACACACACACACACATATATATATATATATATATATATATATATATATATATATATATATATATATATATATATATATATATATGTATTTTTTTTTTTGTCTGTGGCAGCTTATTACCTTTTAAGTCTTACTGTGGGCTACAAGTAACTGAATGATTCTGTTGAAGACATCAGCTTGCATTCTGTCTAACAGGGTAGAATTCCACATGATAAAAACTACATTACCATACCATAATTCTGTATGATTAGATAAAAAGTGCACCAAAAGAATCAGCCACTCCCGTAATGCACTGCAAATCACATTCTCTCAATATTCATTCATTTATTGTCCTTCAGCTTAATCCCTTTTTTTCAACAGGGGTCGCCACAGCGGAATGAACCACCAACTTATCCAGCATGTTTTACACAGTGGATGCCCTACCAGCTGCAACCCAGGAAACTTACGCCAACACAGGGAGAACATGCAAACACCACACAAAAATGCCAACTGATCCAGCCGGGACTCAAACCAGCAACCTCCTAGCTGTGAGGCAACAGCACTAACCACTGAGCCACCGTCACCTCACAGAATGGTGAGGAAATAAATGAAGGAATGATGAAATTCAAATGTCATGTTGTCATTGTCACGTGACAGCATCCGTTGAGCTGCTTTAGACAGCATGGTGGCTCAGTGGTTAGCACTGTCGCTGGTTCAAGTCCCAGCTGGACCAGAAGGCATTTCTGTGTGGAGTTTGCATGTTTCTGTGTTCGTATGTGTTTCATACAAGTTCTCCAGCTGGAAGGACATCTGCAGTGTAAAACATATGCCAGAGGAATTGGCGGTTCATTCTGCTGTGGTGAATGAGGCAAGGACAAAGCCAAAGGGTAGTGAATGAGCTGCTTTACTGGCATTCAGAAATCGCACATGTACTGTAAACACTGTAAATAAAAATATATATTTTTCATTTGTATCTTAACTAAATTTTAACTTTCAAATACACATCAATGAATTTGCTCTTCAGTGTTTGGACTCTCAGTAGTGATTTTGAAACCACACTGAACTGAGCTGAACTACACTTAAACACTAAAAAACTGAACTACACTGTTCCAATTTACTATAACCTTTTAAGCTGCTTTGACACAATCTACAATGTAAAAGCGCTTTACAAATAAAGGTGAATTGAATTGAATAAAATTGAAGCACGGTTAGCCTCTTTTCATCATAGAAATATGTTGACATGATCTATTTTTTTTGTTTACAGTGTATTTAGACAGATATTTAAAAACAGTTTTATTTTTTTTCCTTAATTTTCCCTGCAATATTGTCAAATTTTTTTGGTCAAATTATTGAGCAACTTTGTTTTCTTCAAATCAATATATTTAAGGATTTATCACATTGCAAATATATATATATATATATATATATATATATATATATATATATATATATATATATATATATATATATATATATATTTTTTTTTTTTTTTTTTTTGCTTACAATATTAGTTTCTTGTTAGCCAAAAAAATAACATAATTAAAAATATTTTTTAGACAAGCAAAACGTTGTTTTCAGAAATGTCTACCTTAAATTGGATTTTCTTTAAAACCAGCAAAAATCTGCCAATGTGGTATTTTTTTTTTTCTAAAATATGATTTTTTCACACCCCATTGGCAGATTATTCAGCTTGTTTAAAAAAAAAAAAAAAATCACTAAATTTTGATTTATTATTTCTAAAAACATATTCTTGATGAACCTTTTTTTTTTTTTTCAGTGTATTTATTTATATAATGTTTTAACGTGTTTTAAAATACTTATGGGACAAATACTTCCAGAAGCAAGGCCACTGATCAACAAAATGGACGAACACTGTTGCACTCTTTTAGTTTTGTTACTTGAAAGCAGTGGAAAGGGTTTGACCACCATCTATCTTCAACATCTTGTCTTACCTTTACCAGCCGTTGTTTACATCAGCGCTAATGAAGGACAGGAGAAGACATGAAAGGACACTGGGTGACTCTGGACCTTATCGACACGACATTACAGGGGGGTCCACTTTATTTTGACTAAGGACAGTGGGGGATAAACTATATTTTGACTTGGTGCTGCCATTGGACTTGCTGAATCTGATGGAAATGATGTTGTTGGTTTCAGTTCGTCTAGTCTGGGCCCACTTTAATCCAACCCATAGAGACTTTGAGCCTGTTAGTATGTCATGATGAGTTATGATGATTCACAATGTGCACAACATAAACCGTAATGTTTATAAATCTTTACCCTAAAGTCTAACAGACACATTTTCATAATGACAATATTTAACAAAATAGCAAAAACAATGTGTAGATAAAGGAATTTATGACAAATCAACCATAGAAATTCTATAAATATATATGTAAAGTATATAATGAACATTCTTTAAAAAATAAATCTATATTATTTCACATTATAATCTGACTTTTGCTTCATTTTCCTTTTTACCCTATTCTGCAATACGGAAGTGTGCTAATTTTGCAGTTGGTTTAGTACCTATGGGAGCAAATAGTGCATATGGGAGAAATTACATGGGTGTAATAAACGACAGAAAACGGTCAAACTACAGTACTTGCTCTACAAACAACTCATCAAACAATTTTGTGTTAAATAGACATCTAATAGACGACTGAACATCTTGGGATGTTGGAAAAATATCTAATAGATGTCAAAGAACTGCCCAAAACTAAACTATTAATCAAAAAACACATTAGACCGATTTAGGCCCAATCCCAATTCTATTTTTGTACCTCTTCTCCTTCCCCTTGCCCCTTGAAAAAGAGTGTAAAGGAGAAGGGCTTCAAAGTTAACCCCTAAAGCCGCCTTTCCACTGCACGTGACATTCGGACATGACTGTTGGAATACGCCCCTTTGTGGCAGTCGCACAGAATATTCAGTTTTGTCGTGCACCATGGGAAGCGGATTCTCGCAGTGGTGTCTGAAATATAGAAGTGCAAAAGCAAGAGCCTTTATTCTCTGTGCATGCACCATGGTTAAATGAATGAATGAATACTAGAAACTCACCACAGACTGAAAACAATTTTGGAAATGTGGAGACAAGATAAAAAATAACAATATTTGTATTACACATTTATGAATAGAATTTAACAAAATATTTATAATAGAATTTGTCAACTTTTTTTTCTGATTCAAAAAATAATGAAAAACTCCTATTTCTCATCTCATGTGCATGAACCTGATTGGACAACACTGAAATACATCACATCTGGTAGGCTGGTCATATATATACGATCTAGTCGCAGGAGTTCAAATATTTTGACAGATCCGTAGCTCAAATCGGATCCGAAAATTCCAGATAAGGAGTTGATCGGAGCTCCACGCAGCTCCTGGACTACACTCTTCATTGGAAATGAATGACTTTTGGTCTGTCGCTTGTCGTGTGCAGTGGAAAGGCGGCTTAAAAAAAAGGGACAGCACTACAGCACCTGCACTTGTCATCGTGAGCTCTTGCTTCATATGAGATCGATGATGGCAACTGCTGAAGTTATTCCAGTTGCATTATTTTTGCTATTGATCTTCAGGAAATCACTGATGGCATATATTATGTAATCATAATGATATAATGTGGCAATAAGCTCGTAACTGTACTGTGCATTTACACCCCGGCCATATTCATCGATGTAAACACACAAAAAACAACATTTACATTATAGCAGACATTGTAAAAAGGTCAGTCCCAGCCACCAGATGTTTCTGACAGGGTATTTGAGTGTTATCGAGTGACAGATGTTAAAGAATGTTGTTGGACTGCTATACGGGAGTTATTATTATTATAGGGATTATAGATAGCAAATATTTACACATTTTTATTGTTTTTTTTTTTTAAAGCATGACGGTAAAACATGAAGGCTGTTATGAGTGTATAAAAACATGCTTATGTGTCAGAAAAACCTATAATAATGACAAAAAATACAAATTTGTGCATCCTCTTACTTCCGTGTGCATCCATGCTGCAGGAAATTTTCTTACCCCTTGGTTTTGACTGTGGTTCTGAAAAATATCTGTTTGAAGGGGTATCTACCCCTTCCCCTTAGCCCTACGCCTTCAAGCTAAAGAGAATTGGAACACCCCTACCCCTTCACTTGAGTGCGCAAAATGAGGAGTAGGGGTAAGTGGAAGGACTAATGGGATACGGGGTAGAATTGGGATTGGGACTTAACATGCGAAGTCATTCATTCCTTATATAACTTAAGCAATGCTTAGACGTCTTTAAGAAATATTTTAAACAGAAAGAAAAATGCTTGCTGGCAAATGTGTTCATGGCTATATTTAAAAAGTAGAATAATATAATAAGAAAATATCAGTTTGCAATAAGAAGCACCACCAGCTGTTTTTCACGTATAAAAATCAATGGAGGTTAAAAAGACTGGAAGTCTCAAGCAAAAAACTTTCCAATGGCTACAGCCGCTTATACGTCAATGAATAAGGTCAATATATGCTTCTTTGTTGTTTATGTAATTCTCTTATGAATATATCTGGAAATAAGACCACATTATTCTACACCATGCTGATCCTGTTCATTTCGTAACTGCATAATGCATACAGCAATAACCATGCATGAAATACAAAGCTGTCAGCTCTTTTAATTGAAAATACATTAAGATAAATCATAAAGGTTATTGCACACAGTTAACCACTGACAACAGCTGTACACACAAAATGAAAAATGGCAAAACATTTGAATTTGTTTCTCAGCAACTGTTCATTAAACAGTTCTGTTGTAACAGAATCTCACAATATATGACTCAGTGCTCTGTAAATTTCATGGCCTGAAGTAGATAAACACCTGTGGAGGAAATGAAAATATAGATAAAAGTGTAAATTAATTTAAATATTAGTTTAGGTGTAACGTTTTTATTATATTTACAGTATATTTTTGCCCCCTCTATATGAGCCACCAAAACACACAAATATTATATCTGGATATTGCCATTTGTTTCTTTTTCGTTATTAGTTTTTGCATTCAGTTCTTCTTAAAATGCAGTGACCGCCAGGTAAGCATAAATGTTCAAAGGCAGATTTTTTTATTAGCTCTTTTTTTATTAATAAATATTGTGGCTTTTATCGTTTCACCTTAAAATAGGGTATTTTACACCATGTAAATACACATGACATCCTTCACTACAGAAAATATAAAATAAATGTGCATGTTTATATATTCTGTGGGCTGGCCATTGACTATATTAGATATTTAAAAAAGTGCATTTGTAAAACTGAAAATAAGTTATCTTTTTAATTTTAAAGGGAATTCATCCCTCCAGCAAAACAACCCAGGCTCATTCTGAAAACGTAGTCCCGTGAACGTTTCTGGAGACTGCAAAATATGTGGCCGGAGGTACGTATGGCTGCATTTAATTTTTTTTAAGCGAACGCTGCGGAGCGGTGTGACGCCGTTCCATTCGCTCACCTCCATGTGGAGGGCTTTCCCACCGCAACTAGTTTGTCCGGTTAGCTTGCCTTGTATGTCGACGGACTGAAGAGAGGGGCTGACCACGACGATGACGACCGGGTTCTAGTCCGTGGAAGAGCGGTTCCAGAAATCAGGTAAGAAAACAAAAGCAAAATCCAAAAATAAAGCGAACAAGTTCATAGCAGGGTGAAAATGTGGTAAAATCCAAAAATGTGGTAAATATAAGACGTGCTTTTCTTTTTCTGGACAGCTTTTGTGAATTGTCGTTGGTTGGGTTTAGGGAAGAAGGAGGGTGGGTCAGCCGATTGGCCAGTCACACCATCAATCATTTTGTCATTCAGACAGACAGGCGTAAGGTCGTTTTGACAGCTGCATCTGTCAAGAACAGCGCGGGCACGAACGGCGCTCGCAAGAGACGTTCAAGACGCGAAAAAGCGTGCACAGCAGCTTCTTGCAGATTCGTGAAAACAAAAACTGCAAAAACACGTACTTCCCGGGACGTATTTCGCGGTCTCCAGAAACGTCTACAGGACGACGTTTTCAGAATGAGCCTGGGTTGGTTGTGTAATTTCTGCCAAAAATAATTGGATTATTGATTTTGTTACATAGAGGAGACTGCCTTTCAGTTGTGATGCCAGTTACACATTCAGGAGAGTTTTGACCGAGGAGAAATACTTGATTTTTCGAAAACTTTTTCTTTGGATAAGTTGGCGGTTCATTCCGCTGTGGTGACCCCTGATGAATAACGAGACTAAGCCAGAGGAAAATGAATGGCTGCGTTCGAAACTGCCTACTACTCAGTAGGTGCTGCATTTGAATTTAAACCTCTTACTTGACCAATAAAAAAGTAAGTTCTAAACAGTATGAATGTGAAAAGTATGAATAGAATTCGGACGTACTACATCCGTCATTTTGTCATGGTCACATGACCTACCTGCATCAGTTGCGTCGCTTTACTCCCATTCATGAATTCGCTCGCGGGGCATCATGGGATAGTGCAGCATGCATGGGATGCGCACTCCAGAATCTCGCTGGAAGTAGTAAGTCATCCAGGTACTTCTCGCATACTGATTTTCGTATTCTATGAATTCGGACATACCACTCGGCTCGCATACTGATTTTAGCGTACTATATAGTATAGAAGTATGCCGTTTCGGACGCAACCAATGATTGAATGAATTAAAAGAAAAACCTTCCCAAACAATTGACTCCAAAATAATTTATTTTTCTTCAGATCAGATAACCTGTCATTTATTCATTTACCTTTGGCTTAGTCACTTATTTATCAGGGGTCGCCACAACGAAATGAACCGCCAACTATTCCAGCATTTGTTTTACACAGAAGATGCTTTTCAGCCACAACCTAGTACTGGCACACAGCAATATACTCTCGCATTCACACACGCAATAAAACACCACGGCCAATTTAGTTCTTCCAGTTTACTTACTGTATAGTGCATGTTTTTGTACTATGAGGGAAACCGGAGCACCCCGAGGAAACCCATGCTAACATGGGGACAATATACAAACTCCATACAGAAATGCCGGGACTCAAACCAGCAACCTTCTGTCTGTGAGGCGACAGTACTAACCATACAACATATTTCAGGATCAGGTAATTTTAAGACCTGATAGCCTAGCAGACACTGCGATCACATAGAGGACAACTGCACTGTGGGGGTCCCGAGTTTGAATCCCTACACGCAAACCCCCCCAATTTCACTTCCTGTCAATATACTTTTCTTGCCATAACAAAGGCAAAAGAGATGTATGTATACATCTTTATGTGTCACAATACTGTCAAGTTATATTAAGGTCAAAACAATATTTAGACTTGTCCTTATTTCATACCCACTTGATAGGCATACACACATGTTTTTTTATAGACATGCAGTATATGGTAAGGGGCATTACTTTTTTTGAGTAATGGTAGAGGCTTGTTTTTATTTCTGACAGGGCTGCAAGTAGTTAGCCAATCAGAGCATGTTTTTCAGAACAGCACTTCTGTCAGAGGATTAAATAGATGTTGCAGTAATTTTTATGACCTAAAAAGGAGTAATGCTTTACTTGAAGGGGTTCATATGACTCTCATGAAACTGTTATATTCTCAACATGACATCATAAATATGAAGGAGGTTTTTTCATGTCTATGACAACTATTATTATGTGTCATTAGCTAAGTTAGGTCTTTTTAAATGCATTGTATAAGATGTCTTTGCTAAGACAACTTGAAAATTACAAAGACAGGTTGTAATGTATTTGTGTGTGTCATGAGGCCATTATAACTGCATCATGAATTGTATAACAGGACTATTCATATCTTTTTTGGCCTCAACTACAGTACGCTGTTACATATTTACTTATTTTATATATTCGATGGAGTATTCACAATTTTAATGACAAATTTCATTGTTCCACTGAAAAAATGATGAGAAAATATGCATGACAGATTATAAGACAGGTGACATAGTGGCTCAGTGGGTAGCAATGTCGCCTCACAGCAAGAAGGTCGCTGGTTCGAGCCCCCTACAGTCAAAAGACATGTGTTTTAGGTGAATTAAATTAGCTAAATTGGCCGTAGTGTATGAGAACGAATGCAAGAGTGTATGGGTGTTTCCTACTGATGGGTTGCAGCTGGAAGAGCATCTGCTGTGTAAAACAAATGCTGGATTGGCACTTCAAGCCACCCTGATTAACAAAGGGACTAAGCTAAAAAGAAAATGGATGAATGAATGATTATAAGGACCTCATGGCAATCATGTTTATGACAGATTTTTGACATGTTGTCTTGATAATGTCAAGTTGTCATAACAAAGACATCTCAAACAATGTCATCTTTGCATTTAAAAACACCTAATCTAACTAATGACACCTAATTACAGTTGTCATAAGCTTGCATAAAAACTCCATACTTGTGTTATATACATGTGATAATTATAAAGGTGTCACGTCAGTCTTATCAATGCCCCTTGAAATAAAGTGTTACCAAACAGGTAAAGTTTCTGAACTTTATGGGCACTTCAAGCTTGGATTGTCAATATTAAAAAATACAGAAATGACAAATGTATTCCAATCATACAATAACATTAAACATTTAATCTCACGGCTATTAAGTTTACGCTGAAGTAACTTATTATTTAAAAAAAAGAAAGAACAAACAGACACATAAACGAGTCTTGAGGGATTCGGTTTAGCAGAATTTCACATCTTCTGGCCCAGCTTAGCTTTCTGTGAGAGGGAAAAACCACAAAACATCATGCATAAACAAGAGTTTACGAGTTGTTCATAGCTTATAATGTGAATGACATTAAAAAGAAATTTGCTTTTGTTTGTAATGTTAGTAAAACCTACGATTCCTGATGCTTGTTTAGGTTTAACGTTGTAGGTAGCCTTCTCTCGTGCTTGTTTGAAAGTCTCTTCTGCAGCTTTCAACCTGTAAGTTTTACAAAGAAAAAAAAAAATGACCCACTGGCTTTCTTGGTTTGGGACTTGTGAAGCTGAGCATCAATGGATTTGCTCTTCAGTGTTTGGACTTTCAGCAGTGAAATTTAAACCCCACTGAACTGAACTAAATTAAACTTAAACTCTGAAATCTGGACTGACACAGTTTCAATTTACTAGAACTTCTATGTGAAGCTGCTTTGACAAAACATACATTCTAAAAGCGGTATAAAAAATAAAGATGAATTGAAGACAATAAAACAAATAAAATGGTAACAAGAAGAAAATTAATCCTCACCGCTCCTGCAGGAGGCTTTTATTCTCTCTCTTCCACAGCTCCTTGAAATCTGATGAAAACTCATGCCACACTGTGAAGAATGTGTTCGGTGAAACCTCTTTCTCTCCCGCCTTAGGCTTGACCGAGAAAAACACGCTCAGCTCCAGAAAACTGGAGAGCATTCAGAGAAAAGCATGACACTATGAACAAAATATTACTAAATAAGATTAGAAAGTTTACACTGAGGAATTGTGAAATTGATCGGCTCGCTTCAAGCATGTGAAATGTGAAATTTTAGCTTGTAAAAATAATGCTCTTACACAAAGAACGACAAGTGTAATTTCTTTTTCGCCCACAGCAATCTTTTGGTATGCATTTGAAGAAACTGCGACAGTCAGACGATGAACAGAGAGAACTTTCAAATTAATTGACGTGTAATATTTGCTTTTATTCCACTCCGAGAGCCAAAATTTTGAAAAGAGACAGTCTACTTTGTACTTTCTAAGTGTCAATCAATATGAGTGAATTGCTCTATTAGTAGCAGGAGTGATGGAAATACATAGTAAAGAGAGTAAAGGAGAGACGGACACACTCAGAGAAAACATGACCAATATGATGCAGTAATAATAAGTCAACAAGAGAACTGGCTCAATTACAACAGCAAGAATACTTACATCCTCTGCGTGTCAGTGAGCTGTTTTTCCTGGAGCTCCAGCTCTGTTTTGGCTGTGGGGGAAAAAGGACAGAAACACTGTAAATGTGACACCGTCTGTTGTTTTATACTTTTAAAATATGTATATGTACTGCTTGTCATCCAATGAAACATGCTATCGTAAAAATGCTATCAAAGATTTGTCCCAGTTATAAACAAACCGCAGGTCTTTTCAGGTTATGATTTTTTACGATAAACATGAGCCCTTCGAAATCTGACTGTAAGCCCGCTGTAATCCGCTGACATGAAATATCAAAGAGGAGATCATTGTGAATCATATTTGTGAATATTCTCCTTGTGAACATTTGATGAGGCATACTGTAGTTGGACTGCAGAACGAGAAGCAGGTCTCTGAAGTCATTACCGCAGTAATGTCAGTGTCACTTCATTTACTGCTGCTCGGTGAGTCTCCTGTGATTCACTAATAAATTGAATGACGAGCCCAGTGTTCTTACACTTTTTCATACCACTCAGCAACCACAATTCTGTGCAACCAGAGAATCCCCAAAACACAGATCACTTCAGTTTCCACCTCCTCTGGCCCCAACATGAGATCTACAGCTCATTAAACTGATTTAAAACATTGCTCAATACATTTGTTTTTCTAGAAAATCATGATTGGTAGCGGTGATTGCTACCATTACAGCTCATACTCAAGTGTTTGAGCCATTGAGCATATTGCAATTTGATGTGTGGCTCCAACATCATCATTTGTGCTATGAACATCAAATTGACTTCATGAGGAAAGATGTGAAATTATGTGATGGAGGCAGGTACATGAGGACATTTAAAAACTGACATTTGTTGGTTTGAAGTTTATTAACTGTTACAATATAGACTAGTGGTCCTTAACCCAACTGGTACCGGGCCGCACAAGAAATCATTAATAATTTCAGTTTTTTTTATTATCCGTGGCTGAACTATCTTTTATTTTGAAAAATCTTTTATTTTGAAAAATGAACATATTTTCTCGGTTACATCTCGGTCACTTGAGTGCCCAAATTTTACCCACAAGCAGCAAAATGAGCAAGAAACAAGCGACTTTGGAAAGTTTCTTTGCTAAGGGGAAAATGCCCAGTGAAGGATCCACAAATTGCCATGGAATAGATCCCCAATCCATTTGTCAACAAATCAGGTGAATTCAGTATGTCTGTGCAAGAAGATCAACGAAAGAAGATTGCTAATGACGGCTGCCTTTTAGTGGCCATTCGCATATCACATTTTTTCGAGTTTGCACAAGTTCTTTATTTCCAATGAAGGGGCGCAGTTTGCACACACAAGCATCATGATGCACTCGCACCTTCCAGACCAGATGCACCCAGCTGAATTAATCCCGCAAATCACGTGACAAGAATTGACTGATCAGCTTCAGCTTGTATGAAATATACAAATTTCAATAAGACTAATTATCTCAGACAACCACTGAACACCCAAACACTGCAGTGCTTTGTCAATTTTTCCATAAATTAAATTTGAATTAGAGAGACAACAATGTATTGTCTTTTATTGATGGTCTAGCAACTTCCTCCCCGCACAACCCCCACAACCCCCATTGGCGGTAAAATTGACAAGCGTTGATTGGTCAGAATTGATAAAAAGCTTGAAAACCACTGATATAGACCCCATTCTAATCAAAATATAAATAACAAACTGGTCTGAGCATCGAGATTTTCTAAACATGGAAAATCCCACAAGTTTGGGCCATTCCTCAAAAACTACCTTGCAGTCAACTGAGAACACCCAAGAAACCACAAAGAATTTCTTATCAATCACCTGGCAACCTACTAAAAACCATTCAGAACACCCTAGAGTAACCACAGAGCAAAAGGTTTGCAATCCTCCAACATTGTCATAAAGTAATTAGCCCAAATGACAAATTTCCCCAGTAGTGTAGTTAAGTGTCATCCCAGATGCAATCCAACCTTATTCAACAGTAGTTCTTCCTCTTCCACTAGCAAAGCTACAACCTTTGAATGTATGATGTGTTCAACATTCCATTCCACACTTGATATTATTGGTTTATCTGTGTACTGTTTAAAGTGCACTTATTCTTTTTAGATGTTTGCTGTGAATGCAACGCTTAGAATATTCATACTATAACAGGTCATAGAAAAGTGCATAAACGTGATTTGGGGCAAACCTGTATAAACTACAACACAATAACCAAGAGCACCATAGAAACCACATGACAAAATCCTGGCAACCACAAGGAAATCACTGTCATTTACTTGACAACCAGCTAGAAACCACTCAGAACACCCTAGAGTTCACACAACAACCTGACAGCACTTATTGGACTCTTCACAACCCTGTTATGGTCATCAGCATCTTAAATCCTTGAAAGTTTTTAATATTTAGATTTTTTTAAATGCGTGAACATTTATATGTTTACGAATGTATTATATCACCTTTGCTTCAAATTACAAAAAAAAAACAAAAACATTAGCAATAATGTGAGGTGTTTTTAATGCAGCGTCTATCGGCTGAGAGTACATTTGACGTTATTCTCTCCTCTGGCTGCTGCTATTAGTCTCACAAAATGTTATTTTTCTTTTTCTGAACATCTTTATAACATCATCGTGGAGTTTTTCTTTTATTATTTCAGTAAATAAGATTGTAAAAAAAAATATTTTTGTATTCTCCCATTCACTGCGCTCTAAGTTTTCAAAACTACTGAGAAACCAGGAAATGTGAAAAGGGTCTATAGAACCTAACAACCATTTTTCAACCAACTCGTAACATGCTAAAAACTAAAGAGCAACACCCTGAAAACTAATAAGAAAGGCTTATTAACCACTTAGTAACCTTCTAGCAACCACCCAGAATACCCTATCAACCACAATACAAAGCTATCACAACCATACATATATCCCTGGTAGCTCCTTAGCAACTTTCCAGAACACCCTATAGCAACTATAAAGCCATCTAGCAACAAAATAGAAAGTCCTATAGGAAACAATTGATATTCACATAGTAACCAACTAGAGCACCTTAGCAACCTAATAAAAACACTGCATTCTAAAAATGTTGGGTTATAGTAACCCAAATTTGAAATAAAAAAAATTGACAAACACAACTGATGGTTTATTTTATTGGAATAAATGCATAACCCAACTTTAACCCACCACTTATTTGGCGATTTGCAAATGAAGGGAGGGTGGTGGGGATGTGCTGGGCATGGTGCTGCGATTGGTAAGCGATGAGGTCGGGGAGGTGGGGTTTGTCTGAGAAGACTGGTAAGTGTAGAGCAGGGTGATGTGACCAGGGGGTGAGGAGGTGGCGATCAGTTAGTGTAAAGACAGGGGCTGGGGGGTGCTATTGGTAAGTGAAGAAGGAGGAAATTGGGTTATCGTTGCAGGCGGAGGCCAGAGTCATGGTAGCAGGCCAAATTGACCGTCAGGCCACTGGAAAACCCCTATGTTTAGAAATCTCCCAGTTCTCCATGTGGCCAGTCCACTTCGATTTACAGTCTCCTCCGAAAAAAGGCGCTCATTGAGCAGTACAGTGTCCCCTTCACTATATTGGGGTATTAGGACTCACACAAACCTTAGGTTAAGCGCCCCCTGCTGGCCTCACTAAAACCACTTCCAACAGCAATCTAGTTTTCCCATGTGGTCTCCCATCCAGTTACTGACCAGACTCAGCCCTGCCTGGCTTCAGGGGCCAAAAAAAGGCCGTATAGCAACCAAATGATACTTCCATAACAACCAGGCAGAATACCCTAGCAACCACATAGCAACACTCTGACAACCACCAGAACATCTCTAGCATTTCTGAGTTTTAATTTTAGAATTTCCATGCCTTTTAAACATACAAAAGCATCAAGTTACTTGGTTTAACCATCTGACATTACAATTGTGCCAATGTTTCGCCACCGTACTGTTTGCACTACAATGGCTCATCTGAAGCTCTTCTAGAGTTTACCCCATCTTCTGTACCTGTTACCATGGTAAACTGATTATCACATTACTTTTATATCAGCAGAGCAAGCGTAGACCAAACAGCACAGAGACCTTCTCTCACACACATCCGCACGCCCGCCTCACTCCATTTTCCTCCTCTCCTCCTTTCTGTAGTTAATTTCATGCTCTGAAAAATAAACAGTAGTGGTTGAAGCGCTGGAGCCAAAGACTGTTACTCTCCTGGAGTTTCAAAATCATACAAATAACACAAAATAAGGCTGGGGTCTTTTTTTTCTCCAATCTCCATTCTCTAACTGCAGGCAGTATTGAAGGGGGTCTTTCCGTGGTCATGTCACCCATCTGAGAGCTCATGAAGGAGACCCACGAGTCTCTAGATCAAAGAAGTAGAGACGTTCAGCGAAGACCCCACCCTGCTGCCCCTGCCGCCATAGCACATGTGGCTTTTGTTACCGAGACCAATTTGAATACAAAGAAAGAGAGACGGCAACACATTCAGCATTCGCTAAAGCCTGTCGTGAAGCAGAGAATGAAAAATAGAGAGACAGCTATGCAGAGACGCTCCAAGTTGAGCGATGGAAAAAGGAGGTTACGGCATGGCGATTGAAGATGATTGTAGTGCGAAAGACAAAAAGAGGCCAGCGAAATGTGGAGGAAAATAAAGTGCTGACAGGAACAGTCTTCAGTGCCACAGACAGATCAGGCCAGTTGAGTCAGACACATTTAGAGGAAATAAACAAGAGGACAGAAACCGTATCAAACAGAGATGGATCGAAGCAGAGATGGAGAACAGAGAAGGCAAATAAACAAGATTGAGAGCAGCTATAAGAAAAGACAATCACCGGATCGTTCAGCTCCACTTCATCAGAGAAAGAAAACACTGAAAGGCGATTAACGCGCCGGGGTGGAGCGTAGGTAAAATTAGTGAAAGTAATGGAATTAAGGACTCTCACTTTTCATGTCGCTAGCTTTATACAAATAATCTAAAGCGATCGAGACCAGGTCAGGTTGGATGTATTTCCCAGAATCATTGTGGGCTCTGTCACATTTATTTCTCAGCACCTCATCTCTCATCTCACTCAGGGTCCCTGTACATCCATCCCAAATTAGTCAGACTTTAATTAATTCCCAGGGTGATGCATGTAAAGGAACACTTGGATGGCTCCACTTTATTAAAACATGTTGGGATGAAGGGGTGATGTCGTTTTATTTATTTGGCCAATTCTGTTGCACAAGGACTTTGTGATTTTTTTGTTGTTCTGGAAAATATATTCTGATTAAAAAGAAATACTGAATAAAGCTATATTTGAAAATAATTATTCCTTTTAGAATTATTGGGTGGTTATGCTGGAAAATACATTGGCATGAAAAATAAAAGCAATTTAAAAGCTAAAAAAGAGAACTTTGGATTTTAATAGTGCTCTGTTTTCTGATTATTAAAAAAATAAAGAAATAGACTCACCAGCCCCTTTATTAAGTACAGTTTAATAGGTACCCCTGTTCAACTGCTAGTTTACAAAAATTTCTAATCAGCCAATCACAGGGCAGCAACGCAATGCATTTAGGCATGTAGACATCGTCAAGACGATCTGCTGCAGTTCAAACCGAGCATCAGAATGGGGAAGAAAGGTGATTTAAGTGACATTGAATGTGGCATGGTTGTTGGCATTCCAGAAACTGCTGATAACCACTTGATACAACCTAGGTATGCAGAAGAGCATCTCTAAATACACAACATGTCTAAACTTGAGGCAGATGGGCTACAGCAGCAGAAGACCACAGCAGGTGCCACTCCAGGCAGCTAAGAACAGGAAACTGGGGCTACAATTCGCACAGGCTCACCAAAATTAGACAATAGAAGAGTCTAATGAATCTTGATTTCTGCTGTGACATTCATATGGTAGGGTCAGAATTTGGCATCAACAACATGAAAGCATGGATCCATCCTGCCTTGTATCAACGGTTCAGGCTGGTAATGGTGGTCTAATGGTGTGTGGGATATGTTCCTGGCACACTTTGGGCCCGTTAGCTAACCTGAGTATTGTTGCTGACCATGTCCATCCATTTATGACCACAGAGTTCCCATCTTCTGTTGGCTACTTCCAGCAGGATAACGTGCCATGTCATAAAGTGCAAATCATCTCAGACTGGTTTGTTGAACATGACGATGAGTTTACTGTCCTTAAATGGCCTTCACAGTCACCAGATGTCAATCCAGTAGAGCATTCTTGGGATATGGTGGAACGGTACATTCGCATCATGGATGTGCAAAAAACAAATCTGCAGCAACTGTTTGATGCTCTCATGTCAATATGGACCAAAATCTCTGAGGAATATTTCCAGTACCTTGATGAATCTATGCCACGAAGGATTAAGGCAGTTCTGAAGGCAAAAGGGGGTCCAACCCGCTACTAGTAAGGTGTACCTAATACAGATGCCGGAGAGTGTATGTTGCTAATATCTGAGTGCTGCTAATATTCTTCTTCTATCTATTTTTTCAAAAATCCATAAATTTCCACAGGGAGAAATTTTCCTAATGTCAAAAAAATACCAGAGAAACATTCGTAAATGATAACCTTTCAGCAATAAAAAAATAAAAAAATAAAAAATAAAATAAAATATATTTGTATGTATGTATGTATGTATGTATGTATGTATGTATGTATGTATGTATGTATGTATGTATGTATGTATGTAAAGCCCAGATATATATATATATATATATATATATATATATATATATATATATATATATATATATATATATATATATCTGGGCTTTTTCTCTTTCTTTTACCTTTAGTTAGAAAATCATCCATTTTGTCCTTAAAGGGCTGCAGGTGCTCATCAGATGAGATATTACACACCTTTTCTCTTTCTGCTGAACAGGCTGTAAAACAGAACAGAACAGGAACACAGATGAAAAAGGAAAAATATTTAAATGAGCTGAAGAGCTGTTTATTTCAACCATACAAAATACAACATAATTTCTATTTATGCGTTTTGTATTTAATAAACTCAACATATAGCATTTTTAAAAATATATTTAGAAATAACTTCAAGTCATTGTAAAGAAGTGGTGGTACTAGCCAATCTCATTCATTAATTTTCATAAATTTTTCATCAATCATCAATTTTCTTTTCGGCTTAGTCCCTTTATTAATCTGGGGTCGCCACAGCGGAATGAACCGCCAACTCATCCTGCACGTTTTACGCAGCGGATGCCCTTCCAGCCGCAACCCTTCTCTGGGAAAACTAGCCTATCTAATAATAACAATTTTTAAAAGATTATTATAACCTCTGTGATATTCTTTAAATGAATTGCTCTCAAAGTGAAGTTTCACAATCTAATTTTGTGGAGCACGTGATATGATTAATCGCGGTTGGTCTCCTATCTGTAATCATTAGCAAATTAACCGGATTAATCTAAACTCATTATAAATAGCCTGTCTAGTATTACTCCCTTAACTTTGTTTTTTGAAGAATCCCCCCCTTCCACCCCATCTCCCCCTTTACCAGGGGGAGCGCTCAAGAAATATCTAATCTCGTACCCCCTTACATGCTCACTGACAGGGCGGGAGCCATGGGCTCAATTACCTCTGAGCTCAGGGTTCTCTCCCGGGATAGCATGCTAATATTATCAAACAATATCTAAAGGTGCTTTCACATCTGTTGTTCGGTTCATTTGGTTCGGACCAAGGGCAACAAATGATACATTGTAGCAGTTTCTGTTGTCTTTGGGTCCTTTTCACACCACACTGATTGCTTCAGTCCGAACTAGTTGAAAAGAACCAAAATGCAGTCATGTGACAAAATCCACATTACTCATTGGCCAGATGTTATTGAACGTATATCATTAACTGCTTTTCGATTGGTCAGTATTAATGTGTGGCGAAATGCCAATGGACTTCCTGTAAGTAAACAAACCGGCAGACACAAAATGTTGCTTTTGACTATGGAGAGTCTACTGCGCTGGCTTATTATATCCCTGGTCATAGTATACTATATAGTTTGTATACATCCCTTTAGACAAACATTTTGATACTGAAGCACAGCTGCAGCTGTAAAACAATGGTTTAATGCATTGCAAATGATGAAAGCGCATCGCAAGTCACTTCAGGAGGAAGCGTGAATTAATTTAGCAAAACTGCGACATAGTCATCTTCCGGAAATATTACAAATGATCCATCAGGTAATGTTTTCCCTCTCTCTCTGTTTAAAATTGTTGGTAAAGTGCTGTCAAGAAATATTTTTCCTCCACATAATGCACATTGCATCGGACTACGGCAGCTGGATTAGTCCAAAAAGGTGCAGACTTTTTTGCAGTTGAATCTGTTCTAGTTCAGATCATGTTCTCACCACAAATGAACCACTCCAGAGTTTAGTTGAAAGCATACCGAGCATACATAGTCTTGTTACGCTTTTTTGGTCCGTTTTTGATACTCACTCGAGTGCGATTGCTACTTTCACACCTGCCCAAATGAACCACACCAAGAGGGAAAATGAACTCTAGTGAAATTCAACCAAACTAAATAAGGCAGGTGTGAAAACACCCTAAGTGTGAACTCTTGAAGTATGCGTTCATAGAAAATCGTTTATTTGGGTCACTAAAAAACTGTAAATGTTATGTTTAATAAAACAAACATATTTACAGAACGTTTTATTAATCTTAAGAGTCTCTTTCCATTTTAAGTAACTTTTAGTGGAACAGAAAGTGTCCACATATGCCAAAGGTTGTTTATGGAACCATCAATTCCAATAAACATAAATTTATAAGATAAAGTAAAAAAAACAAAAAGTCATCTTTATTCTGGTATGATTAATGCAAGAGCTGTAAATCTGTGCAATCAGTCAAATTCAAGTGTGTTCCCGCTGTAAAACTGGCCCCAATCAGTCTGTTCTTGTTGTCTTTATGGTTCCAAAAGTGAAGTTTCCAGTAATGCAATAGAAGAGCCAATTTTAACTCCTCAAATAACCTTTCTGTGAAAATAAAACATGTTTTTTTTTTAGTGTGGACGTTTTAGGATTCATCTACAGAATCTTTTTCCACAATAAAGAATGGTAACTTTCTTTTTCAGCAATATATGACAAGACGCAATGTTTACGCACTGTATGACACTTAACAGATCACATTCACAAGTAAAGCCATATTTTTAGTTTATGAATACATTGTCTCATTTTTAAACTCTGTTTCTCTTTCAGCCAAAAACTAATACCTTTTTTCAGCTGTCCCTGTCTCTCTATATTATTTTATGCATTGTAAAATGATGCACTTACAGTAAGTTTGTATAGAAAAAACAATGATTTCCATTTCTTGCCTTCCCACTACCACCATAGACATATTTTAGCAGCTCCTACAGAAACACCATGAAAGTTCAAATTACATGTAAAACACACATGGAATAGATGTTTTTTGCAACACGTACATGTGAATAAAAACTAATTGTGTGATCACTTCTTTTTGACATAAAATGGTCAAATGCATTACATAAAACATAGTAGTTTTAAAATATGAATCATCTGACGCTCACATTATTTTTCTGTAAATGAAAGAAGCTTCACTCTTAAAAATAAAGGTTCCAAAGAGTCTTATTAGAGTTATAGCTCCAACCCCAATTCTACCCCTTACCCCTCGTTTTGTGCATTCACATGAAGGGGTGCCCAAATTCTCTTTGGTTTTAGGCATAGGACTAAGAGGAAGGGCTAGAACCCCATGAAACTGAGATATTTTAGGATTACACTTGAAACCAAAAGGTAAGAAAATTTCCTAGAATACACCAGCTACAACGGCAGCATGACTGCACATGGAAGTAAGGAGATTTTGTGATTATTACAAATTTTTACAATATACTAGCTTATGTTTTAATACATTCATAACTACAGCAGTCGGCATCATCAATCTCATATGAAGCAAGAGTTGCAAAAACGTATGATGACATGTGCAGGTGTTGTAGTGGTGTTCCATTTCTTAGGGGTACATTTCGAAACTCTTCCCCTTCACACTCTGTTTCAGGGGCCAAGGAGAAGGGGTAGGGTATAGAATTTGGATTGGGCCTTAGAGTCTTATGACATGTAATAGAAATGTTTGTAGAACAAAGTTTATGGGAACATCAATGAAAGGAACCTGTATATTTAAGAGTGCTGTTAGAGCTTAACCGTCTGCATTTCACAGACATATCAGTATCCAGAAGGATGTGCTATCTCTGACCTGCACAGATGCTAATGAATCCCATTTCATGAACCTTTCATTCTCTTCTGTTGACTCTACACCTGTGTGTCACACTCCATCACTACAGCTGGTGATGGATCACAGCCTCACATGCCAATCAGCGCAATGCAAACACAGTCAACCTAATGTGCCTGCCAGCTGGATCAAGAGCTTTGTGAAAGCGAGGACCTGCATAACTCTGTGCCCCTTCCAGCTGTCAGTGTCGCACATCTGCTTTAGCACTTAGCTTAGCCTGTTAATGTAGCGATGATCCATTTATTGTATGAAACTGGCTTCAGAAAGAAGCCATGCTTATTGGGCCATGGGGAGATTTTAGGGACATGAACTGTGGAGGATTCAGAGAAGCGCCGAACATTGCCAGAGGAGAAATATTTGCCTGCGTTAAACAAACGTAGGCTTGATCTGTTCCGCAGGTGTATGCCAAAACGATTTCGCTAAGCATACAAGCTCTGGAAAAGTACATTTTCGATTTATCAAACACATGTATAGTGGGCCTAACTAATTAGCTTTTGAAAGATTAACAATGCAAATCGGCGACTAGGGATTCGAGCTGAGGCAAGCACAAATATGACTAACAGCATGGGAGAAGCTAATAGGCTGCATAGCAATGCATCAAACGGACCATCCTTCAATCGAAATTTCCATAAGCCAATCCATCTGATATGTTTGACTGCTTTGAGTGCAACTAAAAAGGCTTGGAGGTTATTATTTTTGTGTGGCAGACAATCTCACTCTGGATAAATGATTGATGGTAAATGTGTTTTTGATGTAGGCCAGTGTTCTAATTTGACCACATCAACATCCACAAGTGTTTTTTTCAAGGAGCTAAACAAGCCAAACATGCCGACAGTGGAATGTGAGTATTTCCACATCTGTGCGAGTGTGTATGCGTGTGTTTTGTGTTGGCAATGAAAATGTTTGCAGGGATTTAAACTCAGCTTTGAGCATGTAATCGGATTCTTACACCTCATTCACACTCTGCCGTGCACTTAAGCTGGGTCGTGCAACCTTTGACTTGTGGCACAAAGCCGAACCAATCTCACTAACCTCCTGAAGAGCCTGATAAATTGCTTTACTGGTCAGGGAGCAAAGCAGACGCTGCTTAAGAGGCAGTTTAAGCCCTGTACCTGCCTGCTCATTTCTTGAAAAAATAACCTTACATGAAAGCTGATGCTGACCTTCAGAAAATCGTACACCAACATTTTTATAGGATTTAAGATGAAATAAGAATCTCTAACAGATATATAAAACTCTAAACAATCAAATTAATTTAAATTTCACCAATATACAGTTGCAATCAGAATTATTAACACCCTGATTTATTACCCCCTCTGTTTATTTTTTTCCCCAATTTCTGCTTAACAGAGAGATTTTTTTACACATTTCTAATCATGATAGTTTTAATAACTCATTTATAAATACTGAATGACTTTATCTTTGTCATGATGACAGTAAATTATATTTTACTAGGTATTTTTAAGACACTTCTATACAGCTTAAAGTGACATTTAAAGGCTTAACTAGGTTAATAAGGTTAACTAAGCAAATTAGTGAAATTAGGTAAGTTATTGTATAAAGATGGTTTGTTCTGTAGACTATTGAATAAAATATATACTAAAGGGGCTAATAATTTTGACCTTAAAATGGTTTTAAAATTTTTTTAAACTGCTTTTATTCTAGCCGAAATAAAACAAATAAGACTTTCTCCAGAAGAAAATATGATATCATACATACTGTGAAAATTTCCTTCCTCTGTTAAACATCACTTGCAAAATATTGAAAAAATTAATAAAAAATTTGGTTTAATAATTTTGATTGCAACTAAATAATAATTTGCATGTTTAGATTTTTTTATTGTAATGTAATATTACAGTATATTATACAATTTTTCAAAAACATGTTTTTGTTACATTTTTCATAACATTTATTTAAGTCATTACATATTGATTTGTTAAGAAACACTTTTGTATTATCAATGTTGTCATGTCTGTCATGTCATGTATATTTTTGTGTAAACTATTCATTTTCTTGACTTAACAACTTCAATCTTCAAAAATATCTATCTATCTATCTATCTATCTATCTATCTATCTATCTATCTATCTATCTATCTATCTATCTATCTGTCTGTCTGTCTGTCTGTCTGTCTGTCTGTCTGTCTGTCTGTCTGTCTGTCTGTCCGTCCGTCCGTCCGTCCGTCCGTCCGTCCGTCGACTTCTATTTCTTGCATTCTATTTCTTGCTTCTATTTCTGTCCCTCGGGCTCGCTGCAAATCAAAAGGTGATCGAGCTTTCTGTGTTGCGACCTCAAGGCTCTGGAACAGTCTCCCTCTAAACATCAAGATTTCTTCTTCATTGGATGCTTTTTAATCTAAATTAAAGACTTATTTTTACTCTCTTGCCTTTGAGTGACACATGCATGTTTTTTTTATTTCTATATTAGTATTACTTTCATACATATATATTTCCTTTTAATTTTATTGTCTAGTTTATTTTATTGTAAAGCTCTTTGGATTACTACGGTTGTGTAAAATTGTGCTCTATAAATAAAGTTTGCCTTGCCTTGCCTCAAGTAAATGCTAATTATGTGAGTTTGAATGCCATTTTACATGACATTTATTGCCATACACTGAAAGCAGCAGTCGATCTTGAAAATAAAATAAACCGTTTGAAACTGAATTTTATAACTGTGACCCAGTGCAAGCCAACACATATCACTGATTCAGCATGTTCATTTATTAATGTTAAAGAGGTTTATTATATATTATTTAGATGATCAAATTTACAGTTTCCTTGGAGTGCAGTAAGTGTGTACTATTCTGTGCTTCTGAATGGCTTTATTGAAATTTCTGTCATGTTTCATCTGGTGCAAACAGCCAAATTGGTTATCAGTGCAAATTTGGTCACATAGAGTGTTGTTAGGACATGAGGTTAAAATGTAACCTGCTCACCTAATGTTTACGTTTGTAATATTTATATTATTTTCTAATTAATAACCTCATGTGGAACTCTGAATCTGCGTCTCATTTTGGAGGCTGCTACTGTCCACCTGTGGTCACATTTCGGTTGAGGATGCATACCTTGAGAGCCTTTTTGACTTAATGAATGAAATACATGGTTTTCCACCATGTGAGCAAAACAAAGACAGATGTTCCGGCACGTAACACACATTTTCAAAGCAGAATATCTCATTTCAGCATTGTTTTTCAGATAAACAATAGTTCACTTAGCATGTTTTTTTTTTAATATCTGCAAACATATTATGGTATTTTTATGCGTTAGAAGAGTGAAAAAATTACATGCAGCATCTTTAAACAGTGACAGATAAATAAAATCTGTTCTTACATTTGTTTTAAACTTTATATTCACCAGAGTTCTGAAACAACAGTTTACACAAAATGTTAGGCACAGCAACATTGATAACACAAAGAAATGTGTTTTTCTGTAACAGTACTGTATACATAAAGAGACTATTCACCTGCAGAAAGCAAGAGTTAAGTGCTTGAGGCCTGTAGTAACAGGTAAGCCTGCTAGGAAAAGTGCTGAAAATGACCCTCTCTCTCATTTATTTACATGCTGGGGCATTTAACAAACCACATTTGCAATATTGATCATTGTGGCAGCCAGCTGGGGGCTCAATAAAAACAGCCATTTGAAAATCAATGAGCCTTCTAAAGGAGAGCATGGGTCACTGGCGCTGGTGTATACAAACGAAACATGTCTCTGTGTTTTGTATATGCACACTTGTATGAGTTGTCAATATATCTGTATGTCCACATGTGTGTGCACGCATGTGACACCATGTACATGCATAGCTTATGTCTATTAATCTTCTCCATCTCACCATTTAGATCTTTCCGTAGCTTGCGGAGGTCACGTTGAAAATCTTCAAACTTCATCTGCGATGCCTGAAATAGATCCTGAGGTTCTGGAAGTGGATACGTGCACGTTTCTTTACCTGCATCCTGACACACAAACAGTGGAAAGTCTGAACCGCAATCATACAGGAAATAAAACAAAGAATGTTGTGTTTATAAGATCATATCTATGGCAATTGATGATTTGATTTAAATGTGAATTCTGTTCAAATGGATCAATGTGCAAAGATCATTATAATTCCAGAAACAATCAAAAACATCAAACACAACAAATCAATCTCAATATCGTTCCGTCTGTCAGAGAGCTGCTCGCATGCATACACACACAAACACACACAAACACATGCACTCTCCTTATTATTTGCCCAAAGCTAGAAGCACTTCGACAACCTGTGGATCATATTTTATCAATTTGGACACGGCCTCATAATCACAACATCTGGACCCACTGTTGACGGTATTTATAATACAGCCTTTTAATCTGCGTCCAAAAAGGGCATCGAGCAATCAGAGGGCTCTGCTCATTCACAGCAGCCATTTGTCTATATGGTGAAGGGAAAGCAAGGCAAATCAAAGTGATGAAACCAAAAACAAAGCCACATTTTTTGTCTCCCATTATGGGTTATTTAAGGGACCTGGGGGTCTGTTAGTCGAGCCAATGAAATAAACAGTTGGCTAAACCTACCTCATCAAAGTGTCGCAGATAGTAAGCAACTATGTAGGACAGGAGGCTCTGAGAATTATCCTGATGGAGTGAGAGGAGGAGGAGATGAGAGATGGAAATAAACACAGGAGAATAATCATTTTTCATGTTTTGCTATTGTATACACTAATTTAGCTCAAAAACCTGCTGGGTTTTTTCCTATTCACATGTGTGCATTCACAGACCGCATAAGATGTGAATATAGGCTACTTCTTTGGCATAATGCTGTATGGACAGCTCAGTGTGATACTAGAATGGTCTATTTATGACCTAATTAATGGAGACCACTAAACAATTGCACATGCAGTTTCCATGTGCTGGTCTAGCTGGGGGATCTGCAATAGGGTTGGGCGATGTCGACCAATTTGGCATGTCTAATGTGAAACGTCGCGATGGACGATGGCATCATCGTCGTAGGTGGCGGTGAATAAATGTTTATGAATAATTAATTATTTCATAACAAATTTTTTATTTGAATCCAACCGTTTCAATTACCTGACCCGCATGGTCTTTGTTTTATCCATAATTAAATCATAAATAAAGATAGGCTAAGTTACACACAGATTGCTACCTGCCAACCACTTTCTCCGCAGGACTCTGGCATGAACAGGCAGAGTAATCTGTGTTGTTATAATGGCGTCAACAAACTTGGTGTGAAAAAAGGTGCACAACCAACAGGAACCAATCAATAGTATCTGAGGTTATCGCTAAAATTACTAAGTACAGTGTGAAAGCGAATGATTGAAGCAAGTTGCCTGATGGATTCAAAAGACCGAAGAGTTATTAGATAGAGACAAGATTAATTAAATGTGCAGAAATGCTAGATGAAAAGAAAGTGTGGATGTGGATCGTTTTTATTCTAAAATGCCATTTTAAAACTAAGACGCTACTGTAAGCGGGGCCTAAGTGTGTATTTTTCGGTTTGCGACGGGGGCAGGGCAGAGGATCGCAATGCCGGCTCAGCATTGTAATGTCAATCAGCTGTCGGCTATGGATGATGGCATCATCTATCAACCCAACCCTAATCTGCAAAGCCAACAAAACGCTTATTTAAACATAGTTCAGCTAGAATTAAAGTTTTGACACTTGTTTACTCATCCTCATGTCATTCCAGGAACAAGTGGGCAGTGCATCTCCTACTGAGCGGCAAACAGGTTTTATATAAAAATTGTTGTTGTTCTACTTCTTCTTCTTATAATAATAATAATAATAATAATAATAATAATAATAATAATACATTTTATTTTATATAGCGCCTGCAAAAATAACATCTCAAAGCGCTTTACATGCATATAAGCATACAGGTTAAATATACTTAAAATATCACTGCGGAGGCCACAGACTAGACAAAAAAAAAAAAAAAAAGCAAATCCAAGATAATACAAAACATAATGATATTAAAATCACATTAAAATATCACATAAAACTACAATAAAAAAGTAACTCAGGGATTCTGATTTCCTAATTTCAAAGGGCAGAGAATTCCACTAATTAGGTGCCAATGAAGAGAAGGACCAATCACCCAAAGAGATGTGCTGCCTCCCAATTCGCATACTATCTATCCTAAATAGTATTTGAAAATTAGTATGTCTCAAATCGTAGTTTGTTGAAATGAGTACGCCAAAGATTCCTGGATGGTTTACTATTTATGGTAAAAATTCAAAGTGTAGAACTGTCCAAACTCTAACCACTAATATTGCCCACAATACATTGCGCGTTGGACGTGAATTTGATTAGAGGTACAAACGTGGGTGAAAAGTGTAAATACCGTAAACAACAAACATGGTGGATGCGCGAGACCAACCTTCAAGTAAAGAGGCTTCGGTAAAGATGTTTGTATGATAATTAAATCGCGTTTTCCATGTTATATTTAATCTGCAACAACAACGTCAACCTCTATAAAGATGTGTTTGGATAAAAAGGTCTGAATGCATACTTATTCAAAGACCTGAGAAGATTTCTCTGCATGAAAGACTCGTAAATTTTAGATTATACTGCTACTACCGCTTCTCCAATATGGTAGGTAGTTAAATATGAAAGAAATATGGATGATGTGTGGATGATTAACATTATTATCTGACATGCTCCGCCCCCTTCAAAACGCTTCACATCTGATGAGCTCAACATAAAGCAGAACGCTACTGGCTGTCCAACCCTCTCTTCATGTTTCGGTTGAGATTATGTCAAACATAAAACAAAAAATGCACATTTTAAAGCAGTTTGTAGGACATTTAACATTTAATAGACCAACATTAGACGAGTGTAAAGCAAATGCAGGGGTATTAAGGTATTAAAAGCCTTATAAGTTAGCATGAGAATTTCTAGAATCAATTTGAAAACTGACAGGAAGTCAATTTTTTCAAAGTAGGTGTTACTGTATGTGCACCCTTGCACTGGTCCTGGACAGAGTTCTAGCAACTGATGCTTTCTATTGTTTGACATTATCTACTTAGGATGATTATAAATGTTGCTCAGAAAATAGGTGTAATGTTGTTTGAGACTCCACTGACTTGAATCGTATAGACAAGACAAGACAGACAGAAACATTGTTTTGTGTCTGACAGAAGGTTGAGAACAGCATGAGGGTGGATGAGTGATGACAAAATTTTCATTCATTGATGAACTGTAACTTTAAACTAATGTTATGGATCTGGTTTTCACTTACACTGCTCTTGACATCTTTTAATTTGGGCAAGATGTCAAGGGAAAATCCGTCTGCCTGTCCTCTGCTCCGGTTGCCCCCATTCATGATGTTCCCAAAAGCTAGAACCAAACCTAGGATCTGCAGGACAGCTTGGCCTGATTGTAGAGCCTGTAAAACAAGAAGATGGAGATCTCAGGAGTGAGATGTTTTCTACACTGCTTTCAAGATGAACTTTGAACTTGAAATATGACAACGGTAAAGTGATCTGTCTGGTGTGCTTCTCACCGTACAGACTCTCCCAAGGGTTTCTAGCTTGCGCTGAACTGATGTAACACACTCTGTGAAGGTGGACTGGAAGAGAATACAAAAAACCCGCCCTGAGAACTGAGGAACCTCTGACAGCTGCAGCAGAAACCTGACGGAGAGACACACACAAACAGAGAGAGTGAAATGAGTGAGAAGCAGAGAATAAGACAACAAATAGACTAGAAAAGACAGGGATGGATGGAAGGATGGAAAAATAGATATATTGTTAGACAGACAGACACAAATGGACAGACAATCAGATAGATAGATACAGTACATCCGGAAAGTATTCATAGCGCTTCACTTTTTCCACATTTTTTGTTACAGCCTTATTCCAAAATTAATTAAATTAATTTATTTGCTCAAAATTGTACACACAACACCCCATAATGACAATGTGAAAAAAGAGAAATTGTTGCAAATTTATTAAAAATAAAAAACCTGAAAAATCACATGTACATAAGTATTCACAGCCTTAGCAGTGAAGCTCTAAATTGAGCTCAGGTAAATTCTGTTTCCACTGATCATTCTTGAGATGTTTCAGCAGCTTAATTTAAGTTCACCTGTGGTAAATTCAGCTGATTAGACATGATTTGAAAAGGTATACACCTGTCTATATAAGGTCTTAGGGTTGACAGTGCATGTCAAAGCACAAACCAAGCATGAAGAAAAAGGAATTGTCTTTAGACCTCCGAGACAGAATTGTCTCGAGGCACAAAGCTGGAGAAGGTTACAGAAAGATTTTGGCTGAAAGTTTCAATGAGCACAGTGGCCTCCTTCATCTGTAAGTGGAAGGTGCTTGGAACCACTAGAACTCTTCCTAGAGCTGGCCAGCCATCTAAGCTGAGTGTTCACGTGGAGAAGGGCCTCAATTAAGGAGGTGATCAAAAACCCAATGGTCACTCTGTCTGAGCTCCAGCGTTCTTCTGTGGAGAGAAGAGAACTTTAAAGAAAGACAACCACCTGTGCAGCAATTTACCAATCAGTCCTGTATGGTAGAGTGGCCAGACAGAAGCCACTCCCTGCCTGGAATTTGTCAAAAGACATCTGAAGGACTCTCAGACCATGAGAAACAAAATTCTTTGATCTGATGAGACTAAAATTGAACTATTTGAAGTGAATGCCAGGCGTTACGTTTGGAGAAAACCAGGCACCACTCATCACCAGGCCAATACCATCCAGTGAAGCATGGTGGTGGCAGCATCATGCTGTGGGGATGTTTTTCAGCAGCAGGAACTGAAAGACTAGTCAGGATATAAGGAAAGATAAATGCAGCAATGTACAGAGACATCCTGAATGAAAACCTGATTCATCTTCCAACAGGACAATAACCCAAAGCACAGTGACAAAAATCAATGGGGTGGCTTCCCAATAACTCAATGAATGACCTTGAGTGGACAAGCCAGAGCCCAGACCTAAATCCTATTGAACATCTCTGGAGATATCTGAAAATGGCTGTATACTGTCACTTCCCATCCAACCTGATAGAGCTTGAGAGGTACTGCAAAGAGGAATGGGCAAAAATTCCCAAAGACAGATGTGCCAGGCTTGTGGCATCATATTTAAAAGACATGAGGCTGTAATTGCTGCCAAAAGTGCATCAACAAAGTATTGAGCAAAGGCTGTGAATACTTATGTACATGTGATTTTTCAGCTTTTCACTTTTAATAAATTTGTAACAATTACAGTTTTTTTTCAGTCGCTTGGGTGCATTTCTCACAACACTAGTGCATTTCTGCACAACAGTTAATGCATTTCTCAAAACAATTAGTACAAACTGCAAAACCTAGATAATAACCTGCAAAAGTGTGTCACATGCTCAAAATGGATAGTTCATTCCTCAAAAACAAGTATTCATGTCAATCAAAGTGTCAGTATCATCAAAACGAAAAGTCCTGACACCATTGTTTATGAACAGAATAGTCAAATGACTTTGTCATGTTTTCATTATGACAGTTTACTCTGGACATTTTTTTCAATGCAAAAAAGATGTTGGTGACACTTCCTGAAAATGCTCAAGACAGCACTATATACTATTTGCACAGCCATTTGAAAACTACAGCAAAGTTAGACATCACTGCTTTTAGTGAGGGACAGACAGACAGATAGACAGATAGACAGATAGACAGATAGATAGATAGATAGATAGATAGATAGATAGATAGATAGATAGATAGATAGATAGATAGATAGATAGATAGATAGATAGATAGATAGTTAGATTGACGGACGGATGGACGGAGACAGACAGACAGACAGACAGACAGACAGACAGACAGACAGACAGACAGACAGACAGACAGACAGACAGACAGACAGACAGACAGACAGACAGACAGACAGACAGACAGACAGACAGATAGATAGATAGATAGATAGATAGATAGATAGATAGATAGATAGATAGATAGATAGATAGATAGATAGATAGATAGATAGATAGATAGATAGATACTGTTCAGGCTTGTCCAGTGGTTTTGGTTTTTCTTTGTCTTTGGAAGACTTGACATGTTTCTCGATCTGGTCCATCTCCTCTTTCTGAGCTCTCTGTGATGTTGACAGAGGAACAGAAGAAAAGAACACTGAATAAAGGGAAAGTGTGATTCATGTTGGCCAAAAAAACTTGTTGAAAAGCTTGTTATAAAACATTTCATAACCATCCAACAGTGATATAAACTCTAATGAGGGATAACAATGAGTGTGCAGCCAGCAAACAAAGTGTGATCCTGGAGTAAGACAACACCAAAAAAGAGAAAAGAGAGAACAAGTAAAAAAAAGATGGGATATACTCTCCCTCTCTCTCTTTCTCTCTCTCTGTGTATGAGGGGGTGTTCTGTGGTTTTGGTTGAAGGAGTCAGAGACAGCGTGGAGTCTCGCACACTAAAGAGAAACAACCTCAACATTTAAACTCAACAACAGCGCCTCGAGCTACAGCGGAACGGGTGGGTGGGTTGGAGGAAAAACAGAGGGATGGAAGGAAAGATAGTTTTCAACAGAAACGTACTACACATGCACATAGTTCCAGGCACATACATTGTTAACTCATTAGCGTTACGTACAGCCATCTAGTGGTTGAACAGCATGAATAAAGGACATATTATTAGAGCCCATACACAAATAAATACAGTTACAAAATTGTTTGTGTTGATTCCACACAAGTTTTTCAGCTCCATTACACACACAGCTGGAACTACTTTTAACTCTGCACTGATGTGATGTGGCACACACAGGTGAATGACACTCAATGGTTCTTCAGAAATCATTAAAATTTGCAAATTTGCAGATCTATTACCAATTGATGATTAAGGAATGGTCAATTACCATTGGTGCTTAATTATTAAATGTAGTATATTAATCATAGTATTATAATCAATGTTATATATTTATTTGTGTTGCTGTACATAATTTTTGTGGAAATCATGAAAAGGTTTCTTTATTAAGATTCTTTAAATCAACACATTGTAAAAAGCATTTAGTTGACTGCTTAAAAAAGTGAATAAACTTATTGTGTAACATTTATAAATTGAATGAGCATTGTGCATAATTATAATTAATATACAATTATAAAAACTAAGTTTAGTCAACAGTTTGAAGTTACAATTGAAAATCATCTTGTCATTTTTTTAAGTGGTTTACTCACTTTTAAGCAAAGTAAATAAACACTTTTTACCAGAGGTGGGAGTAAGGCACACATCTAAAAGCCACGAGCAAGTCTTGAGTCATAACCTTCAAGTCTCAAGCAAGTCAAGTCAAATTTTGTCAGAAGCAAGTCAAGTTAGGTCAAGTCACTGCTTACTTCAAGTCAAGTCGTAGCTTGGTCTAAGTCACTTTCAGGTCAATCAATTTTTTGTAGATTTTTCGAACTTTTGCAATTTTTTGCAAAAGTATAAACTTTGATAAGCGAAGAAGTAAGCTGAAAACAGCAGAACTAACTTTGTAACTTATAATTTTTGCTGTGGTGTTGAAGTGTTAAATGAAATTAGAAGTAGTGGCAATTGAACTGCTGATCTTTTCTTAGCGTCATTTTGCTTGTAATCTTTAAACATGAATTTAATTATCTTTGGCAGGGTGCAAATGAATTATTCTAATGAATCTAATGAACTAATCTACTTAAAAAGATCATCAGCTTGAGTCAGGTATCAGTTGCAGTGCTTTTATCTTTTGGACGGATCTGAGAACCGATGATCTGATAATACAGCACATGCGGGACTTAAAACTTTCTGTTTTTTTTTAAAATGCATAATATATGCATCCGGAACGTATTTATAGCGCTTCACTTTTTCCACATTTTTTTTTATGTTAAAGCCTTATTCCAAAATGTATTAAATTCATTTATTTCCTTAAAATTCAACACACTATACCCCACAATGACAATGTGAAAAAAGATTTGTTGAAATCGTTGCAAATTTATTAAAAGCAAAAAAAACTGAAAAATCACAGTATTCACAGCCATTGCTCAATACTTTGTTGATGCACTTTTGGCAGCAATTACAGCCTCAATCCTTCCTGAATATGATGCCACAAACTTGGCACACCTGTCTTCGAGAATTTTTGCCCATTCTTCTTTGCAGTACCTCTGTAGCTCTATTAGGTTGGATGGGAAGCATCGGCGTACAGCCATTTTCAGATCTCTCCAGAGATGTTCAATAGGATTTAGGTCTGGGCTTTGGCTTGGCCACTCAAGGACAGTGACCGAGTTGTTGTGAAGCCACTTCGTTGATATTTTGGTGGTGTGCTTTGGGTCATTATCCTGCTGGAACATAAACCGTCACCCCAGTCTGAGGTCAAGAGCACTCTGAAGCAGGTTTTCATTCAGGATGTGCATTGCTGAATTAATCTTTTCCTCTATCCTGACTAGTCTTCCAGTTCCTGCTGCTGAAAAACATCATCACAGCATGATGCTGCCACCACTATGCTTCAGTGTAGGGATGGTATTAGCCTGTTGATAAGGTGAAGTGGAAAAAGCGAAACGCTATGAATACTTTCAGGATGCACTGTAACAAACGATTATGTATTTAACAAGTTATTTTGAGTCACTCAACTCCAAGTCATGACAGTCAAACCAAGTCTTTTTTGATATTTGTCAAGCAAGTCTCAAGTCCTAAATTTTAAAAGTTTAAAATAATGCAATTTATTTGTAAGTTGACAAAAGCTGCGTAAAGCCAGAGTAGTTGGTGGTTCATTCCACTGTGGTACTGTAAACCCTGATAAATCAGGGACTAAACCAAAGTAAAACGAATAAAAGACTTTACAAAAATCGGTAGTTAATTTTGATCAATTTATTTTGTCCTTAAATAATCATGTATTTCTTAAAGAAAAACAAAATAACTGAAGGACCTTTCTGAAAGAGTAATGATGCTTCAAATTCTGATTTGAATAAGAAATAAATAAATTATCAAAATTGTAAGAAATAAGTGAAAATAGTAAAATGTAATTTATTTTATTTACTTTTTACTGAATTAGTAAATCCCACTATTCATATTTTCATTGCATTTTTTGACCAAATAAATTAAAAAATCCTAAACAATTTGTAATGTTTTCGACATATAAATAGCGGCTATTAAACATAATAATTTGAGCAAAATTACTGGCCAAACTTACAGCACGAAGAGTGTTAAAGTAGTAATCAGACGTGTGTAAGAGAGAAATTGATTTGTGGATATGACGGCCTGTCTTTATCTCGTCATGATGACATGCAGACTTGCTCACATACAGAAAATGGACCTCTTGCGTTGACAGCAAGATTTATGACTGTTGATGCAGTGCTAACGGTCATCAATGTTGTGCAAACTCATCAGCACTTAAAGAAGTGAAGAAAATCGTCATTTTAGCAATCGGTTTTGATTTGCGGATCTTCCAAGAAAGAGGTTTGATTTATGTCGCCATGTCAAACTGACGTAACTGCATTTGCCAATAAGTTGCATAAGCTACAAATCCTTCTTTTTATCCCCTTGGGTTTTGAACTCTTAGTTTGAGGAGGGAAACCTCATCCTCTCCATTTGTCTTCCCGTCTGTCGTCAGTTTCATGTCTGCGCGTCTGTCTGTTTCCCTCAGACAGTGACACGCAGCCTGGCTCCATGGTAAACCTGACTCATTCCAGCGGCGTTTGTGGCCTGCATGTTTGTTTTGGTATTTAACACACATTTCCGAGGCTCTCTTTTGGAGAGGACGGAGGGGAGGCAGAGCTCCAGGGTAAATCCCGTCCAGAACTTGAAGGGTTTAATGATGTAAATGATCGCTTATGGAATTCATACTTCATAAGGTTTACCAGGATTCGTCATGGATGCTTATGTGGACTGTCATGTCTTGTCATGTCATGCACTTACGTTTTCATACAGAGCCTGGAGCGTCTCCAGATCCACCACTGTGCAGTCCATGTTCAAGATGGCTGAAGAAAAGAAGAAAAATAATGAGAGAATCAATCACTGACTGAGCAGTATTTAGATTTATGCTAATGATTTCTTAGATAAAGTTTTTCGTTTACTGATTCTAAGAAAAACTATAAACATTAAAGTGCACTTATTTGACCCTTTTTTTAAGATTTAAGAATTTTTGTGTCTCCAGAGTGTGGCTGTAAAGATTCAGCTCAAAACACCCATCAGATTATTTATTATACCTTTCAGAGCATTAGAATTTTCTGCTTTGATCACATTGTAGCTGTTTTTGTTGCCTGTGCCTTTAATGCTACTTCTCCCCGCCCACCGTTCCCACTTGCCTGTCAGAGTGTGTCTCAAGCTCCACCTTGGCTGCATCGGATAAACAGCACAGGGACAGACATGTAGGGCTCTATTTTAACAATCTAGTTGCAACGTGCAAAGCGCAGGTTGCAAAAGCATTAAGGATGTGTCCGAATACTTTTGCTATTTTAAAAACGAAAAAATAAAAGTATGCAGAGGTGCATGGTCTAACAGGGTTGAGCTTGTTCTCTTAATGAGTTATAGGTGTGTTTTGAGAATAAACCAATCAGAGTCTCATCTCCCATTCCCTTTCTGAGTCAGTTGCGTCAAGCCATGTCGCTTTTGCTATTTACATGGTGGACTTAGTAAGTGTAAAAACTGAACGCCTCACTAGCGAGAAAACAGTTAAAGAGACCATAAGAGAATGAGAGAATAAGAGAATTAGCCTCCTCATTCTTTACTTTCACTTTCACTCTCTTTCGTGGATAAGGAAATGTGTTGTACGCACTGACATCCATTAACCTACATAATTAATTTTGTTAATAATGAAGTGTTGTAAAATAATCTGAGTTATATCCAAATACACATGCTATGCCCCATATGGTCCAAAACCTGACAGGTAGACAAATCTAAGCTTGTTTTTAATGAAACAAATATAACTATGCTTATAATAAATACTACTACTACTACTAATAATAACATTATACAAAAGCAAATTATTATGAATAAACTGAAAAAGCTATTTATTATTCTATATGCAGAATAATAAATAAAATTAGTATTAATAATAATTATAATAAAATTAGTAATAACAATAACAATAAATATTAATGTAGTAAATAATAACTTTTGCAATACTTTATTCCTTTAATTCTTTTTTATTTGTAAAGATATTTGCATATTGCTCTACATCCTGTGTGTATTAAGCAATGTGTAAGTGAGGCACACAACTAACGCGCTCTGTGCTGGACTGTGCTGTGCCGGCTCTCAGTTGGTCTATTTCACAGTCTATTTTAGTTCCTCAAAATAGCAACACACCAACAATGCCTCTTATCTAGACACACCTCTTATCTAGACATAAACACCTATGAGTCCACAAAGTGGCGCAATTGGATTTGCTATTTAAACAACTTGGCATTGAACACCATTGTGTTATTACTGTGTTTGTTTATTTTCTTATTGTAACAAGTTATTTATACATTTTTTTCTTAAAATATATAACTTTTAATATGATTAAAGTATTTTTAAAGAGTTATTTTTAAATACCTTAAATTACATTCGGCCCACCGCCCTCAATCACGTTTAGTTTTCAGAAAAAACTTTTTTGTATGAAGGGCCAAAAACCAAATATCATTGAGAGCTGTGGGCCAAAGGTAAATATACCAAACTATTACATTAAATTTGGCATGGGTAATTTTCTAACTTATTACAGAATATTTTAAAATAAATGGAAAACATTACTTTAAATTGTATTATCTAATGCAGTTGATATTTTAATAAATTACAACAATACATTCAGTAAAAAATTATTGCAATAAAAACATAAGCAATCACATTTATAACACAGTGGCGTTTAATGCTGAATACACAATTCAAGCTGAATGTGCCTTTGACCTGATTTGTTCACCAAATTCTCTGCATTGTCAGGTGGCAGTATGTACATTTAAACAAAATCTGATCAATTTACACCATTTAATTAAAACATTTAATTTTAGAGCTTTTAGCATTAAAACAAACAAACAAATAAAGGGTTACATTAAAGTTAAACTGACATTCTCACACCAACCCCATCATTGTCCCTTTCTTGTCAGATCTGATGGCGGGCCAAATCAAACTTTACCATGAGTCAACTTTGGCCTGCGGGCCCTAGTTTGGGCATCTCTGTTTCAGTTTGATTGCTGAAGTAATCATTTTATTTAAAAACAGAACAATAAGGAAACAGCTAAATTGTCCGTAGTGTGTGAATGAGTATGTATGGATGTTTCCCAGTGATGGGATAATAAAAAATAAATAAATAAATAAAATAAATGCGGCACAAAATAAGCAAACAAGCTGAAATCCAAAATCCTCTCTTTAACTTAGTCTGTTATATAATGTAACAATCAAAACGTTATTTACCCAGCCCCAAACATTTACTTTCCAGTGCTGTTTTTACATAATAAGACCATTCGAATCTCTAGCAGGATCGTTATTGAGCTGGCTGCACTGAACACTTTCTTTCTGCGCTAAATAGAGCTATTATGGGCTTACTTTTTTGTGTGTTCAGTCATTTGGGGAATAGAGAAATTGATCATTGGCGCGTTTCAGAAACCACACAAGAAAGAAAAACAAAAACATCCATATCTGGGCAACGCTCAGACATAAAATGGAGACAGACAGCAAAGCATTACTCCTGTTATGGGAGAAAGATATCAAATAAGAACAAAAGAAAAGATGAGGAGGAGAAGAACCACATGACAGACGGAGAAACAGGCACAGTCTATGACTTGGCAATTGAACCTGTCATCAACCTGACAATAATATTCAGCAGATCTACGGACCAATCAGCTCACACACAAACAACAACAGTGTAATTCACACAAAGCCCTCAAAGAGCAGAGAATCTGTTTCTCCATGTCCAAAGATTCTCCCGAAACGCTGTTGCTGAAGGTCTTGATTTAATATTGAAAAAACATGGTTTGAGTATAAATCTTTTAGAAGAAATGCTGCATAAAGCTTTCAGACTGTAAGGACAGTTACTGTAACATCTGTGTGTATTAGAAGTACTAAAGAATAGTGTAATATTAATAGAATAATTTAACTATTTGCAAAATTTAGAGCATTTGCTAAATGGACCTTTTGCACATTTCTGGGTTTCTCATAAGGTTGTTTAAACTTAGAGCGCAGTTAAATAGAGAGTACAAAAAATGGCTTTTTTTTTTTTTTTTTTTTTTTTTTTTTTACAATCCTCGTTGCTGAATTAATAAAAGAAAAACTCCAAGATGATGTTTTCAAGACTTTCAGAAAAAAAAAAAAAAAATGTGTGACTGATAATGGCAGCCAGAGGAGAAAACATCGTCTACTTTACTGTCCCTCACCAAACACTCTGCATTACAAACACCTTGCACAATCGGTGCAATTGTAATTTGATGATATAATACATACATAAACATTCATTCATTCATTTTCTTGTCGGCTTAGTCCCTTTATTAATCCGGTGTCGCCACAGCGGAATGGACCGCCAACCTATCCACCACGTTTTTACACATCGGACAATTTCCAGCCGCAACCCATCTCTGTGAAACATCCACACACATTCTCACACACACACACACATACACTACGGACAATTTAGCCTACCCAATCACCTGAACCGCATGTCTGTGGATTGTGGGGGAAACTGGAGCAGCCTAAGGAAACTCACGCGAATCCGAGCCGAGGCTCAAATCAGCGAACTAGAATAAATATATAGAATTCTCGGCTAGACTAAAATATTTTTTTAATTTTTTCAATAACATTTTAGGGACAAAATTATTAGCCCCTTTAGACTAACTTTTTTTTTGATTGTCTACAGAACAAACCATCGTTATAGGATAACTTGCCTTATTACCCTACCCTGCCTAGTTAACCTAATTAACCTAGTTAAGCCTTTAAATTTCACTTTAAGCTGTATAGAAGTGTCTTGAAAAATTTCTAGTCAAATAATATTTACTGTCATCATGATAAAGATAAAAGAAATCAGTAATTAGAAATGAGTTATTATAATTATTATTTTTATAAATGTGTTGAAAAAATCTCTCCGTTAAACAGAAATTGAGGGGAAAAAAAATAAACAGGGGGCAAGTAATTCAGGGGGGCTAATAATTCTGACTTCAAATATATATAAATATATAAATATATAATAGTAATAATAGCAATAATCAAAGTAAATTTACTGTTTAAAAATTATAGATTGCATGCTGCAAACAACAATAAAGGTGGTCTGTTTCGCACACATAAAAAATACTTTTAAGTAAATAAAATATATGAAATAAAATAAATATATGTATTATGAATATGTGATAAAGGCATGTACTAAAGCAGATGTTAATATAACAACAACAACAACAACAACAACAACAACAATAATAATAATACTAATACTAATAATAATAATAATAATAATAATACTAATAGTACTAATACTTATAATAATAATAACCATAACCATAATCATAATAATAATTTGGCTACTTTGACAAATACAATTTATAAATATAATATTAAAACATAATAATAACAATAATAATAATTATTTTACTTTGACAAATACCATATAATAATAATACAAATAATAATAATGAAGTAAAATAAATATATGTATTATGAATATATGATAATTGCATGCATGCTAAAGTAAATAATAATAATACAATAATAACAAAAAAACAACAACAACAACAATAATAACAATAATAATAGTTCTAATAGTAATAACTATTATTATTATTATTATTATTATTATTATTATTACATTACAAATACCATTCAAATAATTTATAATATCATTAAACAAGATATAATAATAATAATAATAATAATAATAATAATAATAGCAATAATCAAAGTAAATTTACTGTTTAAAAATAATATTACATATATTAAACATATTAAACAAACAATTAAGGTTGTCTGTTTCACACACATAAAAATAATAAGGACAAATAATAAGAAAGTAAAAGTATATAATAAT